ACATACTAAACAAGAAAGAGTTGTTAGGAAGGAAAGGACTCAGCTCGGTGTGGCAGGGAAGTCAGATACAGTGAGACAAGAGACAGAAGTCAAGAAAGCAAAGTAAGTTTTAACACTGCACAGAGTAAGAGAGCAGGCCTGCCTAAAATCAGACAGGCCCAGATGCTTATTCTGAGGCTTCTCTTATGTGGTTTTGGCAGGGCAGAGAGGTCCTTGATTGACAGCTGTCAGTTCTCTAGGCTTTTTCTGATTGGAGAAATGAGGACAGGGGCTGTGCTGCGCCTGTGCTTCTGATGTTTCTTATCTGGGGAGACCCTGGACATTTCCTGAGTCACTCTTGGACCCTGTGGCTTCATCTGATTAACTCTCTGAGTCATTTCTGGCTCTCTGGCTCTATCTGAGCTGCTCCCTGAGTCATCTTTGGGGGGCCCTTTCTCCTTTTCATCCTGCTCATTTCTGTCTTTCTGCCTAAAAGGGTGATAGAAGAAAAGGTATGTAAGATGAGTAAGCCAGAATTTAGGTGTTCTGAAGTCCAAGGCACATGACCCTAAGAAAATAAAATTAGGGGGAAATATTAGAACTTCAGAGAGGAAATAAAATACTTCCCCAGCTCTGACTTAATCAGCCTAAGTGTTTTATTGTTGTGATTTGTGTCTCTCTATTTCCTTCTTTTAGAGATGCCTTAAATATTTAAAGACCTCATGCAGTCTCCTTTAAACAGAAACATCAGTAGAGAAAAGGCTAGGACTTGATCTCTCCATAGTTGTAAGTTATGGTTTATAGCCCATATTTTTTACCAACTTCATTATATGATTGATAAATAAAAATAATAGATATTTAAGTTGTACAATGTGATGTTTTGATATATACATGTATATATACATATACATTGTGAGATGATTACCACAATCAAGCTAATTAACGTATCTATCATCTCACCTAGTTACTTTCATTGTATGTGACAGAACACTTAAGATCTAATAATCTTTTAGCAAATTTCAAGCATATGATGCAATATTAACTATAAACACCATTCTGTACATTAGATCTCCAGAAGACACTGTTCTCACTGAAAAGCCCATCACTGAATTGCCTAGAGCTCAGTTTGACTTAAATAAGGGTGAACCTTGAGGCTCCTAGTCCTGACTGACAATGAGATTCAAGTAAACAAACATGTCAAACTGGGAGTAAGAACTAAGAATGTAATTGTGTAACCTATAGGTATGCATCAGCAGTGATCAACTAATGCTAATAAAGATCATATAGATTCAGAATATAGTCTCAATTTATTCAGAATGAGAACTTAACTGGCTTCCTTTTGCTCCTTCTTTAATATGAAAAGGAAAAAGGAAAATTATTTTCTCATTACAAGTATTCTGTACAATAAAATAAGTAGTCTGAATGTATGAAATATATCCTTTCCCCTCAATAAAGTAAAATAGAATGTATGTCTTCTTGGTACCTGTTAAATGACACTTCTCTGGGTGTTGGTGGCATTTTGTTCTATTATAGTGTATAAACATTCTTAAATGACCATTTATCATTTTTTAAAAGATACATTTTAGAAACTACTTTTATTGTTGTCACTTTAAGTATCTTTATTTTCCATAAACTGGTTCTCATGCAAAAAAAAATGCTGATTAAGAGTAAAAATAGCTATGAGTCATAAGACTCAGTAGTTCTTTCTTAAGTGGACTGTCTAGGATGGTAGGACACTCCAGATCTGCAAAATAAACTTATCCAGTGTAGTGGTGGTAATAAATTAGCCTTTCCTGAAAAATCCTAACATTTTCATGATATATTTGTAATGTTTCCTAGTTTTGATCAATGCCAATTTTCTTCAGAGTTACAGATACCAGTGTGGAGGAAAAGTTTCTGGTTATATCATGACACATACGTACACAATGTACTTTTTTTTTGTTTTGGTGGGGAGTGTTTGCATTGTTCTGCTTACTCTAGTTTAGTTTAGTTTTGTTTGTTTTCAAGTAAAGATATGTAAAAAACGTAGATGCTGTGGGTAAAATTGCAATATTTCCAGAATCTCTTGCCTGGCCTTAGTGCATCTGCATAGCAATAGGTGATTACAGGGTGGGGAGTGAAGACATATCTGGCCTAGAGAGGTATGGTGGGGTTCTTTTGTAGCTGAGTTGCGAGAGATGGGCGAGCAGAAGTAGATGAGTGCTTGTAAGCAATAAAGAGTTGCTCCTACTTTATTTCTCCCTTTAACTGATTTCGGCTTCAAAGGCTATTCGCCTCAGTCTGGGAACATATTTTTCCCATGGAGTTACAGATGACATTCAAAATTGCACAGGGGAAAAAATACAGAGATAATAGGAAGTGTCTGTGAAATGGAGGTTTGAAGGATCTGAGTGAATCACTAGCCACAGCCTACCACATTTTCTTCTGCCTTGACAGGAATAGAGTATTAATGAAAAGGATCATGTAGTTATACTCCGGGTTTTTGGTAACTCTTCAAGAAAAAAAAATAAACTTGTTCTTTCTTTCTTCACTTAATTATTTGCAGTTTGATGTATAGGTTTCCAAACACATACGTGTCCACTGATAATCTTTTTCTATGTTATCTGGAGCCCAGTCTTGCTTAGGTAGAAAATTAGTCTTTTAAAGTTCAGTATAAACCTGTAACATTTTCTTGGAACAAAATTACTTCTGAGTATGTTCTTTATAATTGTCATATGTTTAGTTCTTATTCTTTATAAGTGCCCTGCATATATATCTTCATTTACTACTATATGCATATAAAAACTTATCAAATACTACTGTTTTTACTATTATTATCTTGATATTACAGATGAAGAAGCCAGGGATAGAAAGTCACTTGCTCAACACTAAATAGCTACTAAGTGGCAGAGTTAGAAGATGAACCCAGGTCTACCTGACTCCTAACTTTCACACTCAGTGTTTGCATTCCACTACCTCTCAAGCAAGAAGCATGGCCATGTATGTCAGTACAAGAAAATAATCTCGATGACATATGAAAGCTAATTAATGGGTTGGAATGACAGTATAGTTATCTCTATTAGTCAGTAGTGTCAGAGAAAGTATAGGGGTAACTATGTGAAATTCTTAGGAAATGATATCTCAAAGGAAATAATTGTATAAAATCATTTTCAAAGAAGCAAGCAATTTCAAGTTCAAACCATGTTTTCTATTCTTTGTGTATTCAAGTAACTTTTAATTATTATAAAAAACTATACATTAAGCTGGGATCAAGGATCATGCATCCTAAGTTTTAGAGAAATAAAACAATCTAACCAGTGAAAGATGATTACATCAGTTGAACTCACTTTTTTCTGCTTTGGCCCTTTGATACATCAGCTTCTGCTCCTACCCTGGATTCCAGCCAAGAGAGTATCTGCCCCTACCCTGTATTTGGCTCTTCCTCCATCCGTGTTCAGTCTTAGAACTCCAGGGAACTAGTATCAGACATTGCCCCCATTTTTAACTTTAGTAAGGAGGATGTTGTGCTATATCTAATAGTTTTGTATATTTTTCCACTAAATAATATGGCACTAAGGTTTCTATACAGTGTTGCTAAAATTTGTTCAATTTGATTATTGTTCCATATTTCATCACTTAAGTACATAATTTATCAACTCTCCTTTCTATGAGCATTTGAGTTGTTTCTAGAATTTTGCTATTAACATTATTGCTATGAACATTCTTGTACATGTTTTCTGAAAATGTTCATAGCAATAATGTTAATAGCAAAATTCTAGAACTTTATATAAAGTATTAGAATTGCTAATTCATAAGGTATGCCAATGTCTAAACTTATAAGATAATATCACGGTGTTTTTTTTTAGCATTTCACACTCCCACCAGCAATGTTTAAGAGATATCTAGTATATGTCAGCTTCAACACTGAGTACAGGTAAGCCTGTAATTTTTTGCCAGTTTCACTTTACATTGCCCTGACAATGAATGGAGTCAAACATGTTCTAATATATTTACTAGCTGTATGTATTTCCTCTGCTGTGAAATGACTTTTTGGGTGCTTTGCTTTTTTGTTTTCTTTTGGTTGTTGGTGCTTTACCTGCTAATTTGTAGGAGTTCTTCAGCCGGTCTTAATAAAATTTCTTTTTTGGCTGCATTTATTGTTGATAACTATTTCCCATTTATAACTTAAGTTTTTACTTGGGAGTATTTTTTGATGAACCAAGTTTCTTAATTTTAATATTGTCAAATATTGTCAATTTTTTGTGCATTAAATATGTTCACCAATATGTTCTACTAAAATATTCACTGTTTTGCTCTTAATATCAAAATCCTCAATCTATCTGGAAATGATGTAATTTTTGTGGATAGCCAGTTATCCAGTTTCATTTGTTGAATACTTCCTACCGTCTCCTACTGATGAAACAGGATACCTCTGATGTACCTAGATTTCTATGGCTATATGAGACTCTTCTTGGTTCTCTGTTCTATTCTGTTGGCCAGTTTTCTATCCCTGTGTCAGTTTCATACTATCTTCATTATTACAGTTTATAAAAAGTCCCAAAAGCAGATAAGAATAAATATAAAATGAAGTGTTTATTTATACAATAAAATATAAAACAGTCCAAATGACTGAATTACAGCTACATGCAATAATGTGTATGAGCCTTAACAATATAATATTAGTAAAAAAGTCCTCAAGTATTACATATAGTGTGATGTAACAATTAAAAGAATTTATGTAAAAAAATGTATAAAACTGCTCTTCCTAAAGCTTATGATTGGAAAATCCATAAATACAATTCACCACATTAAGATACTAAAAGAGAAAACCAATACAGTTATTTCAAATAGGCATTGGGAAAGCATTTAATAAAATTCAACCTAAATACATGATAAAAATAAATTTTTCACTAATTCAGGAATAAAATTATCTGATTGTTAATCTCATAAAATATCTTTGAAAACAAAAAGGCAGAGCTCCACTACCGAGCCCATGTCCATCATCCACCAAGCATTCCAGACCCAAAATGAATAAAAGTCAGGTGGAGGAGCAAAACTGAGCAGGCCATGCAACATGATGACATGGCAGTTGGCATGTCTGTAACTGAGCAAGAAGAGGCATTACCTCCCATGAGGGGAGTAATCTTTTCTCAGTTACTTAAAAAAAAGTTTTAAGAAGCCATAGGTCATTTTGGAGGGTCATCCCAAGTACCGAGTTAAAGACAGAAGAGGCTGAGAAAAAAAAGATTACTTATGATAACAGAGAGAAAATTGATACCAAACTCAGAAATATATCTACAGTGATGTACTATCTCTTTCAGAGAAGTTCTTGATCCCAATGCTTCACAAGCAAAGAGCAAAGTTCAATTTGAAAATGAAGGGGTCTATTACTGTTAATGGGCTGAGGCTACTGCTGGTGATGACAAGAAAGAATTGTGGATCAGTCACAACATGCTTTGAAAATCAGCAAAAAGGAAATGCTAATGTACTCATACTATCAGATTGGGTCTTTAAATTTCCTGTGTCCTATTATGAGATCTGAGCTCTTCTGAGAAAGCCTGCTGTCTTGCAAGGACAACTTTTGATGACTCCATCGCTAAACTTACTACATTAAGGAAAAGTCATACCAAGACAGCACACTGATAATATAATGGCTGAAAGGCAGCCAGACATTGTGGACACCGGATATCCAAGGACACTAAGCTGAAACAGGACAAGTGGGTAAAATTAACCGGCCCTCTAACTGTTGTCTCCCTTATTCTAAAATTTACACAATATGCCACAGGTCATCCAAGCAATCCCATGGATAGGTTTTTATCTATGATTTGTCACAGGTTTATATTACTTATATTTGAATTTCTATCTTTCTTATATGGTTTTTATGTTTAATATTAGAGGTGTAGAATCAGTTAACATTTAGAGAGTTATCTGTTTTCATTCTGAGGTGCTCAATATGGGTATGTGGAATTTTTGTTTCAGCTAATAATGTCTGGCATAGTATTTCTGCTATATGGTGACTTCACAAGGGCCCGAGTTAAAACTGCTTCTATGTCTGAGCAAAGAAAACTGCCTAATAGCTTGTCCTGCTGGTGGATAAAAAGGATAGTTGGTTTTAGTCAGAGGTATTGTTACTGTGGGTTCTTTAAGGTTTTGAGCCTAAGGCTGTAGTAGCATAGATATCCCAATGAATATTACAAGTCGAACCATGTATACCTCAATCTCAATATGCAAGGAAGACTACAGGTACGGAAGTGTTCCTTTAGAAAAAGTTGTGACCCAGTTTGCTCAGGGCAGGGCAGAAATAGTTCCTGTTTAATACTTTGTAAAGTTACTTGCTTCTACTTTTATTATTTTTGCTACACTTACTTGTATCAAAATGTTTCAGGCAACCTAAGGATAAATGTACAACTTCAGACGCAGTAAAATTATATTTCCTGAAAACTATTACTTCATATATATTTATCACAGCAGATGAGACAAACAAAACTTGTTAAACTTTCTTTAGTCTGTTTCATTTTTTTATCGCATATTGTAACATTTATGTTGCACATACATGGCTGTAAAAATAGTTAACAGAAAAATAATGTGAGATGGTGGGTAGGTTTGTTTAATCTCTCATGAAATTTTCAAAACCAATTCAAGCGTAATTAAGAATGTATATTAAGTTGATGTAAATGGAATAAAAGTTTTATGAATGGACTTTAAAAAAGTAAATTAAAAGTGCTGATTAACATCTGTTTATTCATTTTTACTTAACATTATAGTCAGTGCAATAAGATGAACAATTAGAGACATGGAGATTAGAAAGGAGGAATAGCACTCTTTCTACAGGTGATGTTACTATTTGCACAGAAAACTCAAAATAATCTACAAACTATTAGAAAGTAGGGAAGTTTTTTCAAGATAGCTGGATAATGGTTAGTATATAAAACCCAATTGTACTTCTGTATTCCTTTAACAGATAAGTGGGATGTGTAATTTTTAAGCAATAATATTGGAAAATATCTAATACCTTAGAGATAATTTTAGTAAAGCCAAGCAGACCTTTCACTGTGAAAATATACAACTTTATTAAGAAATATCAAAGAGGAGCCTACAAAAATGGAGAGATACACCATATTCATTGATAGGAAAACAAATTGACCTGTGGTTTCAATGCAATTCCAGTAAATATCTGAAAATGTTTTCATAGAACTTGATATATTTATTCCAATAATTAGTTGGAAATCTAACATGCCAAGAATAACCTGAGCACTCATATTCCCCTGGGGATAGGTACTACTTTGTCAGGTGAGAATAGTATGGTTATAGGCCAGATCCTGGTTGGTTTCAAGCCCTGTGAGTTCAGGGATAGTAGAGACAAATGCACCTTAGGGGGAAGAATTTCAAACTCCAGAAGCCCCACCAAAGAGTTTTCAGGTCAAGGCTTTAACCTCAACGATCAGGGAAAAGCAGCCTTAGGAAGTAACCTTACTGAGGTGGTAATTCAGCAGCCATGCAGATTTAGAAAGGAAGTTGGGAAGGGGCTTCTTGAGGCTAGTTAATCTCTGCCTTTTTTTATCAGCTCTTTATTTAATCCTGCATATTGGATTAAATCATCTAACCAAACATATTGGATCCAAACATCTAAACCAGCATATGTTTCACCAGGTGCGGCAGTATCTGAATGATAGTCTCAAGACAACGGATGGAGAGAAGCACCAGAACTCTAAGGACCCCATCCTTATTCCATCTTGCCACAGCGGTCCTGTCCTTCCTTCCCTGCCCAGTTTCAAGGACCAATAGGCTAAGGTTGGGGGGGATGGGCCTTTAGAAATTCCTAATGCAAAAGGTACCAACATTTCCCACTATGTTTCTAATGGCAAATGATGCTGAGCACCACAAAGGACATTATGGGGGCTTGCTTGAGGTAGGAACAATTCCCAGTAAGTTGTTTGTAACTCTACTACTTCCTTTCAATTAAGAGGGTTTATTACAACACAAGAGTGAAGACATTTTAGGGATAATCATGTCTCCACTGTGTTTTTTTAAAATAAATCACACATAAACTCATGTGTTTTATTTTTAGAGTAATAGGGTCAAAATTTATACACAAAAACTCAGATCTGAGATGAAACTAATTTGTTTTCAATAACTGCTCTCATCTTTATTCTGGAGATCCCATTCCCATTTGGTGGTGAAAAAGAAAACTTAAATTTCCATTTGAAGTAACTTAATCTCTTCCAGTTTAAAACACATCACAGTTGTGTTTAAATATATTTTCACTTCCAGCCACAGTAAGAAATACTTCTTTTCTCATAGTGACCTAGTACAACAGAAGAATGAATACATAAGTGTATGTGTATATAGATATTGATATAAATATGGAGAGATTTAGTAACTGATAAAAAACTGAAACTCAAATTTCACCAAACAGCACTTATGACTATGTGGAATACACTTACATTTTCCTATGTTATTATGTTTGACACTCAAATTGATTTCAAGATGCACCAATACATTATGGTCATCAGTTTAAAAGACACTGATACAAAGCCATTGATCTACAAAAATTTATTTTAATCTAAGTAAACTCTGGGTTTTCTATTTTCCTTTTTTTAAATATTTTTTTCCTGAATTAAATTAAAACTATGAAGGCATAAGAACAGCTAAAAGTGAGTGTTGAGCCTCATTATAGTATTACCAGGCTGCTCCTGAAAAGCAAGTTATCACCTCCAAACTTATCAAGTTGTTTCTAGACCCCATTCCCCAAAATTAAACCCCTAGGAGGGTAGAGGATCAATTAGCCAGGATATGGGTCTAACCACCTGGCCCTCTCTCTTATCCCTCTTCATCAATTTCTTCCCCCAGCACAAAAAAACTTTATTTCCTTCCTTTCCAGTAGAAGTTGCCCGTAGCCTTATCCTTTATCCTGTCTTGGTAGCATTTGTTCTTCCCACTGCTAAGGCAACAAGTCCTGCCTCAAGAGCTAGTCATCACGGCAGAAGAAAAATATCAAATAAGCGATAAATCTTGTAATGTTTCACATTTTCCCACTACTTACGGAACACATTTCTTGTGATACATTACATAACTGCATATGATATGCTACTATACAGAAACCTTATATTGGAAAATCACTGAAGTACAATATCTTCATTTTCTGAGTTAATTGGTACCTTCGGACAGAGAATGATTTGCCCAAGACACCTCCCTGATTCTGTATTGTCTCTTTTCCCCTCAGTTGCATTCCAATTTCCCAAGAGATGTGTCCAGATATGTGTCTTTTGGGCCAATTAGAGGCAAAATAATATTAAAGATAAAAGTAAATGTGAATATGACTAGTCCTCCCCCTTCATGCTCTCTCTCAGCCCTTTCTTCTGTTTTTCTATCTCTTCCAGGGACCTAGGCCCTCAGTCCCCAAAATTTTGCTTCCCATCAGATAGCCTTCAAAATGTTATACTGCAGTTAATTCAGCCTTATCATATGATATGCTACTTCCTCAAACTAGAATATTTTTGTCAATACCCTACATCCTGAAGATTCAAGTTAAATATCCAGGCCCCACTCAAAATTGAAGGCAGTGCTAAAAATTCACCAAAAGCACCAAGAATTTTGCATCGGTTTACCAGTTGTGCTCTCTTTTCTGACATGATATACTAGCACTGCAGATTCAGCATAGCCAAGTCTAAATAAAATAAGAAGTGTCATTATATATTTCATTAAAATATTAATTAAATTGATACTATCACAAATGAAATAATCATTTTCTTGAAATATGAGAAAAGTTCATTTAGATAGCAAATATATCTGATTTTTAGACAACTGAAAATACTCTAAATGTTCACAAATTATTTTTTAAAATTAATATAATGTCTATAAGCAAGAAATTAAGTGTATCTGATTTCATAATAATTATACTAATGAACAAAGCACCTCTACCCTCTTAAACATCCACATGCTTAGGAAATAATTATTTTCTGAAGGGCTGTGTGTTAATTAGAAAATTAGAGCATGTTAAACATAGTGCTTTATAAATATAAGTTTTAATTTCTCCTTTTCTCACTTTGTAACAATAACCAGTAGTCACATAAAAAGCTGAATCTAATAGCCAAAGTCAAATTAGACTAAGCCAATCAAATATACCTTTCATTTTAAAATATCTGATTTATACTGCCTTATATTTTAAAATATGAGCTAAAAACACTTGTTTTACACTTTTTCACCTATCTCCCTTCTGTCTCCATCATTAGAAATCAGGGCCAGTCACTGTGATTTTGTGATTACTCTTTTGAAAGTTGCAGGGAATAAAAGCACTTGACCTACATTTTCCTTTAGGCTCTTCCTTCTGTAACCTGAAAAAAAAAATCAGAGTTCACAGTGAGAACAGTAATCTTTCCTTGCAGCACCTATGCATTTATTCTCAGAGTTCTGTAATCAACTTTGAGAGGATTTGAAGATGCTAATCAGTCAAAATCTGAGATTACTGATCTCTCAAAGCAGTGTATGAATGATTTCCTTTCCATTTCTTCATTTCTGTGGGTAGCTCCAAATAGAAAACTCAATAACACAAATGACTCAAAAGCCTACAAATCAATGTGTTAAGTCATAATACATAAAAAAGTAAAAGGCATAATGGAATTTGTGTGACACTGTTAACATTTAGGTTTGG